GGATGCAGGGGTACGCATACCTCTAAACATTTTGTGAATCTTTGTACTTTTGTCCATTTACTGTATTTATTTTCCCCAATTCGAACTATAAAATGGTGATTTTCTTTGAGTCAAAATGAGAGTACCCCTAAACATTACCTGCCCTTTCCCATAAAGTCCCTGGGCAATAAAATGCACTTATTAGTCAAATGAACAATTACAGCCGTAAAGCCATAAAGATGTAGAAGCAGTTAAAAACAGGTCCACATATAAATCAATTTGAAACAATTCCATACACAAAAATTACAAACATTTGAAAACAATGCTATATATGAAAACAGTTGTATGTGTACTTAGTATACATATATGTAATATGATCTCTCTCTCCTGCATCAAGCGAGGCGCCAGGTTAGATTGCCTACAAGGTGTCTCCTCTCTCCCCAAAATTTAAATGCACATTTTAAGTAAATAAATTAGTTGCTTCCATAGCAACACAAAAAAAGTCTTTTTATTTTAAAATTTATTGAAATTTGTCAAAACAAAACAGTTTGAGGATTGCCAGGATAGAAGTTCATTGCAAACTCCTTGAATTTAAGGTCATGTTTCTGTACAAGAGCTGTGTGCGCAATGGAACGTTGAGACATTTCCCCCCCATGTTACAGCTGCTCCTTTGAAACCTCAGTAAGAGTCTCCCAAGAGGCAATTGGGAAGCGCACAATTCTCGGCGTGTGTGGTGAAAGGGTGAATGCTGTTTATTTCGTTTTCCTGTCGGTTTTACTTTTGGAAAATTCTCTTGTGAAATCCCAATTTGCCTTTTAGATTTGGAGGAACAAATCAAAGAAGTGAAGCACTTCAAAAAGAACCTGGAATGCCTCTTGAGGCAAACTTGCCCATCTACATTGCGGTGTTTCCTTATAACTTGTATACATTTTTTCATTCTGAAGAATGGAGCTGTCTCTCTCTCGATGAGAGTCGCTGAACTTACCAATAAAACCTCAGCTTTGCAAATTTGACATATAGAATGAGAAACATCAAACACCGGAAAAGGTCCACCAATATTCACTTGCTGTGTTGCATAAATTTCAACAGCGTTTGTGAAGGGGAAGTTCTAAGTAGACGGAACTTTTTTTTATTACCATCATAAAATATGTTTTGGGTCAGCATACTAAATAGTTTAGATGCATAAATATGATACCTGTTTTTCTGTCATAGATGCTTAGGATCTCTTGGCCTGAGTCCTTATGTAGATCTGAAATAATAAATCAGTAATAAAGGGACAAGAAAAAAAGGTTGTTTGTTAAGCGGAGATTTGAGTGTATTTAATTACCAGTGGAATTACTGCAGGACGCTTTGTATTTAATAGTGTGGATGTGAGTTGACAAATAGCTTGCCAAGAGTATTAGATTAATTTTAAGCTGTGTAATCTTGATCCAAAATGGATATGATATGATGCAATGCAATGCTATACATAGTTAGAATTTTATAGAACCATGCTTAAATAAAAGAGATCCATTTTATGTATCAACTGCCTCTTTCAGTTGCTTCGTTCAAGAGACAAACTGAAGTATTGCTATTGGACCAGAAGCCCACTCTTTGTATTCATCATGACTTTTTCTACTAGACTGTTAGGGATTTCATTCTCAAACTTTTGCACCTTAATAACTCCTGCCTAATGTATTGGGTTTTAAATATAATATTCACACTTTCTATCTGTCTTCCATCTGTCTTATTGTAGAATTAGCGTTGTGGTTGTTATCCTCCTATCTCCAGTTCCTGAGAAGAGAACTGAGAAAGTTGTGGGTGTAATGCCCACATGTGTTGAAAGTCAAGTAAACAGGAACTAAAAAACAAAACAAAACCCCAAGCACTGGAACATTTAAAAGACATAGGATCTACACTGCTAAATGGAACAAAGTTTAGTCTTTGAAGTGTGAGAACAATCCATAGCCTTTCCTCAGAAAATATTACTTAAAGCAGCATGGCTCTCTCATTGAGGGGACTGATCAAATTCATACCTCCTTAGTTTTAGCAACTCTACAGGGATTTGGAGTCCAGTCATTATTCAAGCTCTGATAAATGCAAAAATATTTGTTAAATATTTCTCAACTCAGTTGTATCCCCTTATTTTGTGTGTTTGGAGAACTGGGAAACTGAAATCAGCACATGCTACTTGAGTTAGTATAACCTTTCCTAAGAAGTGGCTGAGCTAGACCTTTTCCTTCTCCAAATATTTGGAATATACCTGCAGTGTTAAACATGTAAGGAGAATCTTACCGGATGGTTGATTGATTTACCTTCATTTTTCCCCCTTCTCTCTATAGAAAATAGCTCCTCAAAATGGAGGACGGGAAGCCTGTCTGGGCTCCGCACGCGACTGATGGGTTTCAGATGGGATTGATTGTGGATATTGGCCCTGATACCTTAACAATTGAACCTCTAAATCAAAAAGGCAAGGTAAGTATCTCCAAAAAGGTGATTACAAACCTTTCAAGAAATTGTTTTAGTTGAAGAGAAGGTGTATGCAATGAGGCTGAGGCTGTTTGTCAAGTAATTTAGAATATTGATCTTACTTACAGCTTTGTTCCTATGACACATGACTTGGGGCGCCAGACTGCCTTTGAAGCTCCACTCAGTGGCTTGATCTGTGTTATGGCCTGCTGTTGGGGGGAAAAAAAGTATTCCAAAGTACACAGTTATGTTAAGGCCTCTGAAAGCGGAAGTAGGAAATGTGTACTATGCCATATGGGGACTTGTAAATACACTGCTTTCTTTTCTGCATTTCCTACTCTGATCAAAGTTCTCTGCCTTATCATGTACCTAGTTTTAAACTGGAAGTTGTTGTGGTTGGATGAGTTGGTCAAGATCCAGATTTTTTCAGGTGATTGATCATTCCTCAGGAAAACCTACCGTATTGGCCCGTATATAAGCCACACCCGAATATAAGCCGCTCCATTCCTTGCTGCTCCTGGCTGCATACTGGGCGGGGGGAGCCATGTTGTGTTGCCGGCGGCCTTTCCCCTTCCTTGCTCTCTCCCTTCCTGGCCTTGGGGGAGAGGATGGGGGACTACGTGTGGGGCGGGTGCCATGCTCCTGCTGCGCTCCTGCCGCTGTTTGCCCCACGCTCCTGGCTGCATACCGTAATGTTGTGAATATAAGCTGCACTTTAACTTTTCACGGTCGGAATTTGGGGAAGAAGTGAGGCTTATTCAGGCCAATATGGTATACAGTGGTACCTCAGGTTACATACGCTTCAGGTTACAGACTCTGCTAACCCAGAAATAGTGCTTCAGGTTAAGAACTTCGCTTCAGGATGAGAACAGAATTCGTGCACCGGCGGCGCGGCAGCAGCAGGAGGCCCCATTAGCTAAAGTGGTGCTTCAGGTTAAGAACAGTTTCAGGTTAAGAACAGACCTCTGGAACGAATTAAGTACTTAACCTGAGGTACCACTGTATTTTTGTCTTTTATGAGATATAACAAGCAGCCACGAAGTGTTACTATAATGCACCTTTGGGCAACTTAATCTTGAATGTATTCTGGTTGTCAATCTTATGTCCCACCCAAGTGAAAGACCTATATTTTCTGGAAGAGCAGTACTTTACAGTGTCAGAATCCCTTCCAGCTCTACAATTCTATGAATCTATAGCTCTCTAGTTGAGGGAACCTAAAATGTAGGTGAGCTGTCTTAAAATATCCATTATAAAATCACTGTGGATACTTCTTTGAGAAAATTGAGATTAATCGCTGCTCTATGAACAATTGTTGGGACTTTTCAGCCTGTTTAAGCACCATTCATGGGAGACAATAATACTTGAGAGCCTGCTGGATTGTGAGGCAACGGCTCTAAGAGGCTCATTGAGAGATGTCATAGCAATGATTTTGATGTGTCTGTTTACGATTCAGCACCTCTTCAGAGGCAAAGTGGATGTAGGCCACAGAAAACCGGAAGGGTTACACCTTTGTTATTGCTGTCACTTAAATTGATACGGTAACTTGGTTCAATGTTAAAGCTCAGATGGATCTATTAACAAGACTTTAGCTGTCACGATGTATTTAATTTTAGTTTGTAAGAGATACTTGTTCGGTGAAATTGTTACTCATATGGCTAATTGTCTCTGTAAGAATACTTGGCAAATGTCGTGTTTCATACCAATTTATGCACAGTATATATCTGGGATCTGGAGCTATTTTATTTCTGGGTAGATTACAGGCTGAACTAGACTGCTGTAAATCTGTAATAGACACTGAAAATCGTGGTCATGCTTCTGCTCACTCCTCTCCCATAATGGATTGGGTCCAGACTTAACTACTAATGGTGGTAGTAATACTGGCAGTATTAGTAGTAATATAAATTATTGTTAGTTTATTTGCGGACCTCCTTTTATCTGAAGACTGCAGAGCGGTGTGCATCATAATATAAAACCACACAACGGAACTACAGTATACATTAAAATGTCCTTAAATTTAACATTAAAATTAAGTGACCTCAGAGGACACTGTCAAGGATTCAAAACAGCCCTAATACCTCATCTTCCTCCAAAAGCCCAAGTAAATAAATGCAACTTTAAAAGTTTCTTAAAAGACAATATTGAGAGATCCAGTTGTACGTCCAGTGGGAAGGAGTTCCATAAGTGAGGTATCAGTATAGAGTGGTGGTGACAGCAGCAGAGCCTCTTGGCTGGGGCACACTGGCAACGGCACTCTAGCAAAGTATTTGTGTCCTGCACCATACTTAGGCTTAATTGAAATCAGTGGATCAAGTTAGCCATGTTTTAAGTCTGATTGATTATATTAGGACCAAAGTTTACTAACTAAGTTTGAATCTGACTCAATGCCTGGTGCAGCTTACTTCATATTGTGACACCACAATATGGATTTCCCTCACCTTCCATCGTTTGTTGGTGGTGCAAAACGTGGGAAGTTGTGACATTGTAACACAAGGCAAATTGTACTAGATGTTGCTTGGGGAAGCTAGATAGTTAGCTGCCATTTTCAGCTGCAGTCATACAACTAGAAGTATCTTGGGCCTTCCAAAAGTTGCCAAACTCCAACTCCCATCAGCTCTGTCCATTGACCACACTTGCTGGGTCAGGTGGTAGTTGTAATTGGGCAACATCTGGAGGGCCAGAGGTTAAAATAATGTCTAGAGTTCCCTGAAGTTAGTAATGCTATTAATAAATATGGTTATTATTTTGAAAAGGTTGCTATTTTGTAGCAGTTTTTTAAAAGAGCAACTGTTCCTGTTGCGTGACTCACAAAGAATCCATGAGGCACAGGTAAACAATGTACAGAAAATCAATAGGTTGTAGGTTTATTTATTTTTACCCTTTGTATATCTAAATTTGGAATGTAAGACTCCAAAACAAATAATAACGCATTGATGGTTGGTGGAAATCCTAGTTGTAGGTCAAGAGGTGAAGCCACAGGCTTCCTTCTGCCAGGGAAGCTAGGTATATCTCCTAAGGAAGAAGTCCGGTGAGAAGGAAGTTGGTGGGTTTTCCTCAGGCATAATCAGTGCTTTTTTCTAAATAAATGTTTAGGGGTACTCTCATTTTGACTCAAGAAAATGTTGCGGGTGTTGTAAATATGTCTAATTTCTTTCTCAGTAAATGCAGGCTTCCAGAAGGTGTTGCCATGAGACATGGGCTTGTCCCCATTTGAGCCTTATTTAGCTGTTAATATACTTTTTCCTCACTTGAATTAGACCAGAGCAGTCCACACTAAGAACCATTTTGTGTCTGTGAGTTCATGTAGGACTGTGAGTTCACTAGGTCTCCTGAGGCAAGCCATTCTCTTGGTCTTAGTCCTGCTTCTGCAGGTAAATAATACTAATCGACCTTATGGGGTTATTATAAGGATTTCTGCAAGATCATGTAAGTGAAGCAGCTTGAAAATATGGAAATGCTATATAAATGTCACGTGGTATTTTGATATTACATTAAATTAAACTTCATTTTTCTCCATGAAAATTAATGTGATTAACATGTTGGCTGAATCCCGACCAGCATTGCAGATAAGGCGTATGTTTTTGGAAATCAAGTGATCTCTGATAATGGGATAGAATCGGACAGTCACTCGTAGCTTAAATCCCATTTATTTTAATGGGACTTGGTCATAGCTAAATTTTACTGAATTGTGCTGAAAGTCAACTTGTGAAGCCTTGTGAAACATTTTTATTTGGATATCACTTTTTAAGTGGATGACAGTGATACCCTTTATTTATAATTTATTTTAATTCTAATGTCTTTTTAAGAATCATTTTTCAAAGAATCTCAGATGTGAGGTGTCTGAAAACCATTTTCAATAAAGCTGTACCCCGGTGAGAGGGGCAGCTGATACACAGAAGTAAAAACACATGCTCAAGCACTGCAAATATACATGTGTAATCTAGGAAATGTGTTTAAAAAGTATGCTAAAGGATCTAGTATATTAGGACTGTCTATATGTCTTACTTAGCATGAGCTCTTTATCCCCCTCTGCCGTCTGCTTTCTTCTCGACAAAACTGATCCTCTTTTGATCTCAGTGGAACCATATGTTTATTTTAATGTCTGCATTGACGTGTAATTGCTTCTTTAAAATAAATTGGTTGCATTTCAACCAATTTCAAGTTTGCATAGAATGTCACCCACATAAACCTCCCACCTCTCTTCTCTTTGATGGAACGTGTACAATTTGCACAAAGGGAAGAGGACACTAGTCCTTTCCTGTAGCAGCTTCTAGCCCCCTTGGGGTGCCATGCTGAGGTCCTTGTGGGAGGGCTTCCAGAGGTGTTGTGGGCTTGCTCTAGAGAAGGGCTGTTTCAAAAACCTTGTGTATGAGTAGAAGGGTTTGGGGCCTACTAAGTGTTAATATTAGCAGTTCTGTTGTTGTCAGGTGTGTAACCCGCAGTCGACAACATATTTGATATGGTGGTGCATGGTTGCAGTTTGTTTTAACTGGAATGTTTCTGAAGACTGAATTACATTTAAAGTCTTTATTAACCCAACCTGCAACATCACAAATTGGAAAGTGAGATGTAGATGTAGGCAAAATATAACAGTTTTGCTGCTCAATTAAATGAAACATCCAGGATGTTTGAAATCAAAGAAAGATACCTTGGTTTGCCTAACTTGAGGAGGGCAAGGGAAGGTAATATCGACCAATGGTCAGTCATCTCCAACATCCTTGCAGATGCACACTGGCTCGACGGAGGTTTCCAAAGACTCTTCAGATGAAGCCCCACTAGAGAGCTTTGCAATAATTCAATCTAGATGGGATTAAGCCATGTGCTGCCGTATGTTTGCCACACTTCCTAGGTAGGAACTCATGACCATTAACACAAATGCAGTAGCCTCAATCTGTAGTGTTCCCCAATTTATTTTTTTGTATTTCTGATATTTGAATGGTATTAGCATTTTGGGGAAACTGTGTGTCAGAAAAACTGACTGGGTATGTCTGAACCTCCCCTCTCCCCCCGTGCAGCTCAGTTTTTAAATAAAGTGCTTTCATGTAAATTGTTTCTTCATATATCTTCTCAGTTTATAGCTGAAGCCAACATTATCTTCTTTTTCAATTACAGACCTTTCATGCTGCTATCAACCAAGTCTTTCCTGCAGAAGAAGACAGTAAGAAGGATGTGGAAGATAATTGTAAGTGAAAGTTGTAAAACCTGGCTTGGCTAGCAAGATGTACCTATTTCCCCATTCAGATCTTTAATTTTTGCAGTTAACCCATATGCTATAGTTATCCGAAGACAAGATGCATATTGTCTTGTGATCCAGACTCTGCTTGAAAGAATGATTTGGGTCTTGAGCCCCAAACCTAGTTTGAATCACTCTGGCTCAGAACCAGGCTTTGCCACTGGTGGGGGAGCATCCTTGAAGTGGAATTCTACCAAAGGCAAACTCCCACCAGCAGAAAGGAGGAAGGCTACTTTTGATAGCTTCCTCTTCTTCTTGCAGCCCCTCCAGAACAGCATGGAAGGTGATCCTTAGGGCTGCAAGGGGGTGCGGGGGACAGAGAGGGAAATGGCAAAAGACCCCTCTCTCCCACCTCTTGCCAGCAGGATCTCTCTACTGGATCAACACTGCAGGCAGACACAGCCTTTGTATTTGTGGAGGTTGGAATTTGGATTCAGCCTTCTGCACATAGAAAGTGTGGGGCGTGGGGATACTGCATGCGCGAATCCATGAACTCTGTTCACCCTGGTTTGCTTTTCAGAGAGGGAACACATTTTTGTGATGTATAGCTCACTGAATCAGAAATATAACAAATAGAATAAAGCAACACAGACCTTGATCTGAACTGCAGCTGTGTTGCCCTTGACTGGCTTGTTTAGATGTTAGATAGTATGGGGAAAGAATGAAAGCTATCCCAATATATCCCTGGAGAACAAATGGGCAGCTAACATTTTATTTCGGACTGCTCCTTTCCGCCTATGATTGAAGAAAGTCTGCTGAAAGGCTTATTACTAGCTTTTTGTGCAAGAGCACAAAATGTGGGTTTAGGGTGGTTTTCTAGCAGAGTGCTGTTGCTGCTTCCTGGCTCTCACTGTACTCAACATGGCCTGTACTACAGCCATTCAAAAAGTAAGGTTCATTCCTGTAACTATGTTTCCATTTTTTTAAATAATATTTTTAAAATTAGTTTTACATAAAGATGATACAAACAAAAAAGAAACAGAAAAAGAACAAGGTTCTCTCAAACCTTCAGACCTCCCTCCATCCTTCCATGGGTTCAATTTCTAATTCCTCCCCCCTCCCCGCATCTTTTACTGTAATCTATCTATTATATAGGGACGCGGGTGGCGCTGTGGGTAAAACCTCAGCGCCTAGGACTTGCTGATCGCATGGTCGGCAGTTCGAATCCCCCTTGGCGGGGTGCGCTCCCATCGTTCGGTCCCAGCGCCTGCCAACCTAGCAGTTCGAAAGCACCCCCGGGTGCAAGTAGATAAATAGGGACCGCTTACCAGCAGGAAGGTAAATGGCGTTCCGTGTGCTGCGCTGGCTCGCCAGATGCAGCTTGTCACGCTGGCCACGTGACCCGGAAGTGTCTGCGGACAGCGCTGGCTCCCGGCCTATAGAGTGAGATGAGCTCACAACCCTAGAGTCTGGCAAGACTGGCCCGTACGGGCAGGGGTACCTTTACCTTTACCTTTTTATCTATTATATATCCATCATATCAAAAATTCATGTTACTTTACAAGTGTCATTGTATTCCTGCCAATGATTTCAACTGTTTACAGTGGTCTCCCAAATATATTGAAAAGTTAATCCAGCCTTTCACAAATTGGTTTTCCTGATTTCTGATCTTTCCCATCAGTCTTGCCATTTCAGCTGATACGCTGTTTTGTAGGTGTGTTTCCAAGAGAGGAACATAATTTGTTTGTCCCCCCAAGGGCTCACTATGTATGTTTAGGTACCATTTTAAACATATTATGCCTGTGTGTATATAATAATAATTGTATTTATTTTGTATTAAATAAATAAACAAGTTTATTTCTATATTTATCTTTTATTAAATAAAAAAGTTTATTTTTATATTTACTGTATTTTTCGCTCTATAACACGCACCAGACCATAACACGCACGTAGTTTTTAGAGGACGAAAACAAGAAAACAAATATTCTAAACGAAATAGTGGATATATGATTTTTGTGGTTCATGCTGTGGCCACAGACATGTGATCTGACAGTGAGTTTGGAGTAGCCCAATGCAAAAATCCTGAGGATCCATGTGGATCCATGCTTTGTAACCACGGAGGAGGGAAGGAAGGGGAACCATGGATCCTCTGCTCACGACTGCAACAGATCCCCCCCGCCACCCGCAGGCATTCGCTCCATAACACGCACAGACATTTTCCCTTACTTTCTAGGAGGAAAAAAGTGAGTGTTATGGTGCAAAAAATACGGTATTTTTATTAAATAAAAAACAGCAACAAAAATATACAGCATAACAACAAACAAAACTATACCCCCCCTCCCCAGTTTTAAAGGCCATAGATTGTTTAATTAGCCAAAGCTCTGGGAGAAGAGGGTTGTTTTTGCCTGCTGCCTAAAGCCACCAGGCGAGCTTCTCTGGGGAGAGCATTTGTTTTCTGTGTACTACTTGGAGGTGAAGAAAGGTAATAAAAACTGGAACAAGTGTGT